CTTGATGCCTCCCTCTTTCCTCCCTGCATCGGATCTATCACCAAATCCCATCAATTATTTCTCTAGTATTTGTGTCAAAAGTGTCTGTTCTTGTCCATCTCCACACTATTGTAGTCCAAGTCTCCTTAATCTCATCTCTTTCCTGAGTTTATTATAACAGTATCCTAACTGGTCTGCCAGTTCTTTTAATCCACTCTCTGTAATGCACATTGTGTGCGTATGTGTGTGTAATGTTAATCAGATCATAGCTTTTTGTTGTGCTTAATAGATCCTATTGCATTTATAATTCAAACTCCATGCAATTGCACAAACTGCATAACCTGGTGACTGAATGCCTGCCTCTTCATTCTCAACGTATACCATTTTCTGCTCTGTCTCCTAGGCTGCAACCACACTAGCATTTTAACAGCAGTACCTAGAACTAATTTTTGTAAGCATTCACTGCTTTTTTTTTTTTTTTTGGCCTGGCTGGCTCTGTGTAGTAGATTGAATGGTCTCTCCCACAACCCCCAGCCCTACCAAGATATGTGACATCTCAGAATGTGACCTTATTTGGAATAAAGTGTTAGTAAATATAATTAAGGTAGGGATCTCAAGGTGAGAGCATCTTTGATTAGGATGGCCTCTGAATCCAGTGATGAGTATCCTTACTAGACACAGAAAAGACAAAGACACAGGGAAGAAAGCTATGTGAAGATGGGTGGCAGAGATAGGAGTTAGGCTGTTACAAGCTAAAAAAAATCAAGAGCCACCAAATATGGAAGAGGCAAAGAAGGATCCTTTCTGAGATCCTTTGAAGGGAGCATGGTACTGCTGACACTGTGATTTCAGACTTCTGGCCTCCAAAACTATGAGAAAATAAATTTCTGTTGTTTTAAGCCATCAATTTGTTGTAATTTGGTGTGGAAACCCAAGGAAACTAATACACCCTCTCTCACCATTGCACTCTAGCCTTGGCAACAGAGTGAGACACTGTCTTTTTTTAAAAAATAAAATAAAAAGGAAGAGTTGGAAAAAATTGAAGTTGAAGAACTTTATTAAGTTAAAATGTGCTTAAAACATTAAAAAATTTACCTAAAATGTTCTTCAGTTAGACCATTATGTTTTACTTTAGATTAGATATTCTAGATTTTTTATTTTATTTTTAATAACAAAAATTCTGTTGATATTTTATTAATACTACTATAAATGTACAAACAGATGCTTTCCATTGGTTTTAGGGGTTTAGTATATAGGATAATGGATTGTATGTTACAATTTATATAAAGGCCCATTTTTACTATGATAGTTACAAGGCTATACCTGACTAATTGTCAGGGAAGGGTATCTAAGACTTAAGGATGACTGAAGAGCGAAAGAAAGGGTGATATGGCAGTGAGATGGAGTATGAGTTAATAAGAAAGAAAGATGTGAATATCTATATCATCCATTCAATATGCAAAGATAAAGAATATGAATATCTACCTACGTTGTCTGTTCAATATGCAATTGTACTCTTAAAGAAACTTTGAATTACCAAAAGACACATTACTACACCTATTAATTTGATAGGGATAAAAAAGGTTAATGACTAAAGATTATCAAATTCAATTTTCCTATGGCAGTGTCTGTAATAAGGAAGTTTTAATAGCTACTTAGAGTGTAAATGGTATATAAATGTAAACAGTCTTTGTAAAGTAGTGGTTAAAACTTGGGTCAGCTAGTCAGTGAATCAGTAGAAATGCTTTTAACTCCAACTAACAGAAGGTTCTATTACAGTGGATTAAACAAATAGGTTTTTTGGTTTTTGTTTCCCACATAAGAAAACTAGAGAAGATTGAATTTCTAATTTACAGAAAATAAACATTGGGACTAGGGTATAGTCAGCAAAATCCAGACTATGGGAAAGTTTTTAGGACAACCCAGTTTCTTCAGCAAAAAATTTAAAGGGGGAAAAATGCAGCTGAGAGACACCAATGAATTAAAAGTTACTTAAGAGATATACTAACTAATCATAATTCATGAGCTTTATTTGGACTTGAAACTAGGAAAAACTTTTTTATTAGTTGTGGATTTGTGGAACACTGACAGGATTTTTGATGCTATTGTATTAAGGAGCTACTGTTATTTTATTTTCTGGTATATAACAGTATCATGAATATTTTTTAAGTCTGTATCTTGTGGAGAAACTTAATGAAATATGTACATCTAATATATCTGGAATTTATGCAGATTGAAGTGGCTGTGAATGAAAAAATAAAACTGGAAATAGGAGGCTGCTGATGAGAGTTGAGTGGCTCACTAATGATTGTTATCTTTGAGATTCTCTTGGTCATTTCATAGGTTGCACAGTGATTGTTGCAGTTGTAACGGTTCATATAACAGAGGCAGAAGAAGAGGTAGCATTTGTTTCAGAAAGCAAAACTTAACCCATTACAAACTTGTGCTTGCATCTCATTGACCTCTGTCATATGTCCACCCTTTCCTGGAAGGTGGCTAGGAAGAACCGGGCTGGGATGGAAGTTGGGTCAGCCAGCCAACAGTGTAAGCCAGAGACAGATGACGGATTTTTTTTTTTAATCTCAAACTCTGTCATTTATTAGCTTTGTAATTATATTTCTTCATCTGTAAAATTAGGATAAAGAGAGTAACTAGTGTAATGCATGTGTAAGTCTGAGCAATGTGCCAAATGAGAAGTTAGTGCTCACAAAATGTTAGCATTATTATTATTGCCATTCTTATCACCACCAGCTTAATTCTTTTTTTACTGAGGTAAAATTCACACATAATATAAAGTTAGCCATTTTAAAGTGTATAATTCAATGATATTTAGTGCATTTACAGAATTGAGCAACTATTACCTCCATCTAGTAAGGAGTATCTCCTTTTCGATCTCAGCCCAGCTTTTGACAACCACTGATCTGCTTCATGCCTCTGTGCATTTACTTGTTCTGGGTGAGTCAGATACCTTTTATATCTGACTACTTTCAGTTAATATGTTTTTGAGGTTAATCCAGGTTGTAGTGTGTTTGGGTATGCATTCCTTCTTATGGCAGAATACTACATTGCATGGAAATACTGTAGTTTGGCCATTCATCAGTTGATGGACATTTGGGTTGCGTCCACCTTTTGGCTATTGTGAATAGTACCCCTGTGAACATTCATGTACAACTGTTTGTGTGAATACCTTTTTTCACTTCATTTGGGTTTATACCTAGGAGTGGAAGTTCTTGGTCATGTAGTAATTCTATGGTTAACTTTTTGAGGCACTGCCAAATGGTTTCCAACAGTATGTGTACCATTTTACATTCCTGCCAGCAATGCATGACAGTTCCAGTTGCCTTCTTTGTCAACACTTGTTTTGCATTTTAAAATTATTATTATTATTATTATTATTGCCATGCTAGTGAATGTGATGCAGTATTTTGTGGTTTTGTTTACATTTCCTGGTGACTAATAATATTAATCATCTTTTCATGTGTCTCTTGGCCATTTGTTTACTTTCTTTGGAGAAAGGGCTATTCAGGTCCTTTGTCTATTTTTGAATTGGATTGTTTGTCATTTTGTTGTTAAATTGGTAAGGGTTTAAATATATATATATATGTGTGTGTGTGTGTGTGTGTGTGTGTGTATATATATATATATATATATATATATATATATATATTCCGATACCAGACTCTTAAGAGATAAAAGATTTGCAAATATTTTCTCCCATTCTATTTTTTCACTTTCTTGATGGTATCCTTTGATACTAAAGTTTTAGTTTTGACGAAATCCAATTTTATTTTATTTTGTTTGTACTTTTGCTATCATATCTAGAATCCATTGCCAAATCTAAAGTCATGAAGATTTGCCCTAAGTTTTTGTCTGAGTTATTTAAAGTTTTAGCTCTTCCATTTCGATCTTCAATCCTTTTTTCCCCCTGAGACAGTCTTGCTCTGCCACCCAAGCTGGAAGGTAGTGGTGCAATCTTGCTCACTGTAACCTCTGCCTCTGGGGTTCAAGCAATTCTCCTGCCTCAGCCTCCTGAGTAGCTGGGATTACAGGTGCCCGCCACCACACTCAGCTAATTTTTGTATTTTTAGTAGACATGGGATTTCACCATGTTGGCTCGGCTGGTCTCAAACTTCTGACCTCGTGATGTGCCCGCCTTGGCCTCCCAAAGTGCTGGGATTACAGGTGTGAGCCACTACGCCCGACTAGGCCACCTTCAATTCTAAAAGATTGGTGTTGGATCAGTTCTGATCTATCTCGAATTAATTTTTGTGTGTGATAAGATGCAGGACCAGCAGATTTATTCTTACCATCTTTATCATCTATATTATCCATTATCATGAAGTATGACGTCTCTCCAACAAAACATCTGAATTGGTTTTCTGAATAGCTTTTCCAGCATGTGTTCAAGTAATTTTCTTCTTAATTTTTATAATCGACAACAGTCTGCATAATATAAATTGTTCTCTATATAACTAATCCATTTTATCTAATATATGGTAGGAAAACAAGTTACATTAGACAAATCTAGAGTAGATTGGGATTTTAAATTCATAAACTTGGCAGGGTTGATTAGTAAATCTTTGTTTGCTTCTAGATATAAATATTTTAGAGCTGATTTCAAACACTGATTTAGTTATTGAAGCAGAGTCCATAGGAATATGTAATTGTTATTTTTATATTGTAATCTTGTTTTATTTGGTTTTGCATAGTCTGGGTATATCTTTTGTTGAATACCATTCCTTGATTAGAATTTATCTCACTAGTTCTTTTTTTTCCCCTTTACCTACAGTGTTGGGGATAATGTAGTTTCTGGGATCTACTGGAGTGAAAAGTGTTTATGGTGGGATAATCCTTATAAGGCTGTTGCATACTATTATATAGCTTTTTTCTTTTTTTAATCTAGTACAGGATGGACAAAGATGGGCCTTATACAGTCTTCTGTTAACTGGCAATAGTTTTTAAATTGTTTAAATTTGTTTTAAACAGAAGAGGATATAATTTGGTTGTTTCTTTTTTTTTAGTACTTGATTCTAAAGCTGGAAAGGCCTGCTATAGTTCAGAATATCACATTTGGAAAATATGAGAAAACTCATGTTTGCAATTTGAAAAAATTTAAAGTCTTTGGTGGAATGAATGAAGAAAATATGACAGAGCTGTTGTCCAGGTGAGTTATGGTTATGGGTAAGAAAGTTGTCTTCTAAACAAAACGTAGTCTTAGTTTAGTTTCTTTGTAGCTGATCTGCATGGTTTGGTTTTTTCTTTCAGAGGAGAAACAAGTATTCCTTCTATTCTATTCCTAATGTCTTAGTTTAATACTGTGGCTTGAGTTAGCTTTCTCTTTTTTTTTTAAACCACCAGACCAGACCCTAGTTAATATTTTTACCGAAGAAGAATTAAACTTTTTTTTTTGTTTCCTCCTTTTTGAGCTGTTAATGACTTCAGAAATATTTTCAGCTTTAATAAAATTTTTTGTTAAAATCTTTGCTATAAAAAAATACAGGCTTTATTCAAAACACTAAGATTAATTCTCCTGTTCCAGAAGCAGTATTGTAGTGGTTTACTATAAGTTGGAAACTAAAAAGAGAAATCTTTCATAAATTGGAAGATGCATGACTACACCAAGCACAGTGCCTGTCACTTGGAAGGAGCTCAGTAAATTTGAGTTTTAATAGTGTTAGACCACCGGCAATGAAGGTGTTAATTTGCCATCCAGCAAATGAAAAATCAGATAGCTAATGGAATGGACAAATGAAACCATGGAGATTCAGAATATATTTGTGATGGCCAGGCGCAGTGGCTCATGCCTGTAATCCCAGCACTTTGGGAGGCCAAGGCAGGTGGATCACAAGGTCAGGAGTTCAAGACCAGCCTGACCAACGTAGTGAAACCCTGTGTCTACTAAGAATACAAAAATTAGCTGGACATGGTGGGGAGTGCCTGTGGTCCCAGCTGCTTGGGAGGCTGAGGCAGGAGAATCACTTGAACCTGGAGGCGGAAGTTGTGGTGAGCCGAGATCGTGCTGCTGCACTCCAGCCTGGGTGACACAAGGAGACTTTGTTTAAAAAAATACACACACACACACACACACACACACACACGCACACACACACGTATGTATATTTATATTTGTAACATAGTATGGCCCATTAACATAATATTTCATATAAGCAAATATTCTATACTGTATTTGATATAAGTCATTAAAGTATTTCAGGAAATGTAAAGCAACCTGATGGTAAGTGACTTTCCCATAGATCCTTGAGTCAGTCCTAGTTGTTTAAATAGAGAGGTGATATGAGTTTATTTTTATTCAGGATAAAGCAGATGTTATTAAACCAACAGAGTAAGCTTGGCTTTGAAAATTTTTTCAACTATAAAGGAAACATTGACATCTCAATTGGAATTAAATAACTAAATGCTTTGGCAAATTCTAATACTTGATTTTGTTTAAGTTGTCAGATTTGAGTGTGAATTGTTTTTGAATTTCCTTCTTACCATTTGAAAATTTTATGCTATATTCAGTTACCCATTGAGAACACTAGGCCCTGTCACACATTTCCGTACACTATAGCTACATTCTTAATAATACTAAACATTTTTTATTAATCTGTATATAATTGAGAGAATCCATTAATAAAACTGTTGATTTGAATGTACCAGTTTTGACCTATATGCTTGCGTTCAACTACTCATTTATATTGTCTTGGTCATATATTTTGAGCATTGGATTAAACTTAAAAGCCAAGTAAGACATTAATTTGTGTTCTAGTGCATTTTCTAAATTATGAAGTCAGATTTAATAGCGTTATTTTTTCCCCACAGTGGCTTAAAGAATGATTATAACAAAGAAACATTCACCTTGAAGCATAAAATTGATGAACAGATGTTTCCTTGTCGATTCATTAAAATAGGTAAGGTTTTAGCATTCTGGAATAGAAACAAATTATTGATATCATCATTCAGCAAATTATATAGCCCGTAGACCAAATCCTGCAGCCCTCTTGTTTTTTTAAATAAAATTTTATGGGAACATTCCTGCACTGGTTTGTTTACATAATGTCTGTGTCTGTTTTTGTGCTGCAGGAGTAGACTTGAGTTACAAGAGACCACATAGCCCATAGAGCCCCCTAAATTTACTCTTTGGCCCTTTACAGAAGTGCGCTGACTTCTGCTTTATATAAATCCATTATGAAGTGGCAGTTATTTCAAGTGGAGATCTTTTCCAAATGTTTTCCCATTTGAAAGTTTTCTTAGATTTTATGGGATCTAGTGATTTGATTGCCTTAATTTTATGGAAAGTTCATCACTTATACTTAAACAATAATATTCTAAAACCAAATACTGATGAAATCCTTAAGGTAGTGTATTATGGTTATAATCTGTTATGTTCTTTTGTATTTCTTTCTTTCTTTCTTTCTTTTTTCTTTTGCTGGTCAAACCCATTAAATTGATTTCATGACCCATCAGTAGGTTGCAAATCACTGTTTCAAAAATAATACCTTAAGGCATGTATTTATTTAGCAAGTATTTTAGCTTAAGAAAGTATAATGCAGCTTTGCACAGTGGCAGTATCATAGCGAATGAGGTTTATGCAAGGCGCGATTATTGCTAATTGAAAACTTTTCCCAATACCCCGCTGTGACAACTTGCAATATAGTCGGCATTGGCAATTTTTGACAGTCTATGAAGACTGATTTAAAAAAAAAAAAAGGATAATGCATTCTCAAAAGTCATATTTTTCACGTGATTTCATTTCCTTTAGGATTCATTGGCCAGGCGCTGTGGCTCACGCCTGTAATCCCAGCACTTTGGGAGGCTGAGATGGGTAGATCACCTGAGGTCAGGAGTTTGAGACCAGCCTGGCCAACATGGTGATACCCCATCTCTATAAAACAAAACAAAACAAAACAAAACAAAACAAAACAGAACAGAAGGATTTATTATTTAGAAGGTAGGAAAGTTGAAGACTTAAATTTGCTAATGTATAACTATGGTGCATACTTTTCAAAATATGTTAAAGTAGGAATTAAAGTGAGTTAGTTACCTTAAAGAATAATAATAAAAGCAAGATTTCACATTTTGATTTGGGAGAATAATTACTCTTTTTGAACAAACATAGTCATTGCCAATCTATCAAGACTTGCCACTAAACAGTGGGACTCATATAGTTCTGTTGGACAAAAGAATATTTGAGGTCTTAAGAAGGACTGCGTATATACAGAAACTGTTTTTGGAACAACTGGATTCCAGTATGTCACTTTGTTTTGTAGTAATTGTAATTTCTGTTGTTATAATAAATGGTTGTAAATAAAAACCTATATTCTGTTTTCTTAATAAGAATTTATGAGCAAGCAAATTTTAAAAATAAATTTAACTTTCAGTTATTTCTTCTTTTGTACTGAGTACTGTTTTGATCAATACGTAGACTTAGCAGTTCCTAAAAACCTTTTTTCTTTTCTTTTCTTTTTTTTTTTGCCGAGTATGTGGATATGTGCACTTAAAAATTTCCCCCAGCTTTATTAAGGTATATTTGACATATAATAATTATATATATTTATGGTTTACAACATGTTTTTACATATGAGTACATTGTGAAATTATTAAATAAAGCTAATTAACATACCTCTCACCTCACATACTTGCTATATTTTTGTGGTGAGAACATTTAAGATCCACTCTCTGAGCAATTTTTAGTTATTATTACTGTAGTCACCGTGCTGTACAGTAGATCTCCAGAACTTATTCTTCCTGTTTCACTGAAACTTTTTGCCCTTTTACCAACAGCCACCAATTTCTCCTATCAGCCTTTTCATTATAGGATATAATGTCTTTTACTTGACCTAGATTTAGTTTTATGGTATTTAGGGAAAATTTCAGCTGGAGCTTTCTAAATAATAGTAGACACTTGTTAGCTCATTTTCTAACTAGGATATTAATATTTAGATAACTAAGTATGTCTTACTTTTCTCTTAAAAGATGTAAATATCACTCAGCAGTGTGTTTGCTTTCCAAACCTTCCCAGCATTGTCTTAAGAACTTTTTTTTTGAAAGTTATTCAAGGAAAATAATGGAACTAAAAGGACATATGTTAGATCAGTATTTTTAGTTTGTCATATTTTCTTCAAAAGTTATTCCAGTAAAGGACTTGAATGATGTATCGGTCTCTTTTGGTGGTAATTTTTTTTTATTTTTTTTATTTTTTTTATTTTTTATTGCATTTTAGGTTTTGGGGTACATGTGATGAACATGCAAGATTGTTGCATAGGTACACACATGGCAGTGGGGTTTGCTGCCTTCCGTCCCCTCACCTGTATCTGTCATTTCTCCCCATGCTATCTCTTCCCACCCCCCCACCCCCCCGCCCCTCCCCCATTTCCCCCCAACGGACCCCAGTGTGTAGTGCTCCCCTCCCTGTGTCCATGTGTTCTCATTGTTCAACACCCACCTATGGGCGAGAATATACGGTGTTTGATTTTCTGCTCTTGTGTCAGTTTGCTGAGAATAACGGTTTCCAGGTTCATCCATGTCCCTACAAAGGACGTGAACTCATCGTTTTTGATGGCTGCATAATATTCCATGGTGTATATGTACCACATTTTCCCTATCCAGTCTATCATCGTTGGGCATTTGGGTTGGTTCCAGGTCTTTGCTATTGTAAACAGTGCTGCAATGAACATTCGTGTGCACGTGTCCTTGTAGTAGAATGATTTATAATCCTTTGGATATATACCCAGTAATGGGATTGCTGGGTCAAATGGGATTTCTATTTTTAGGTCCTTGAGGAATCGCCACACTGTCTTCCACAATGGTTGAATTAATTTACATTCCCACCAACAGTGTAAAAGTGTTCCTATTTCTCCACAGCCTCTCCAGCATCTGTTGTTTCCCGATTTTTTAATGATCGCCATTCTAACTGGTGTGAGATGGTATCTCAATGTGGTTTTGATTTGCATTTCTCTGATGACCAGTGATGATGAGCATTTTTTCATATGTTTGTTGGCCTCCTGTATGTCTTCTTTTGGAAAGTATCTGTTCATATCCTTTGCCCATTTTTGAATGGGCTTGTTTGTTTTTTTCTTGTAGATCTGCTTTAGTTCTTTGTAAATTCTGGATATCAGCCCCTTGTCAGATGGGTAGACTGCAAAAATTTTTTCCCATTCTGTTGGTTGCCGATTCACTCTACTGACTGTTTCTTTTGCCGTGCAGAAGCTGTGGAGTTTGATTAGGTCCCATTTGTCTATATTGGCTTTTGTTGCCATTGCTTTTGGCGTTTTGGTCATGAAGTCCTTGCCTACACCTATGTCCTGAATGGTTTTGCCTAGATTTTCTTCTAAGGTTTTTATGGTATTAGGTCTGATGTTTAAGTCTTTAATCCATCTGGAGTTAATTTTGGTGTAAGGTGTCAGGAAGGGGTCCTGTTTCTGCTTTCTGCACATGGCTAGCCAGTTTTCCCAACACCATTTATTAAACAGGGAATCCTTTCCCCATTGCTTGTTTTTGTCAGGTTTGTCGAAGATCAGATGGTTGTGGGTATGTTGTATTTCCTCTGAGGCCTCTGTTCTGTTCCATTGGTCTATATCTCTGTTTTGGTACCAGTACCATGCTGTTTTGATTACTGTAGCCTTGTAGTATAGTTTGAAGTCCGGTAGTGTGATGCCTCCTGCTTTGTTCTTTTTGCTTAGAATTCACTTGGCTATGCGGGCTCTCTTTTGGTTCCATATGAAGTTTAAGGTGTTTTTTTCCAGTTCTGTGAAGAAGGTCATTGGTAGCTTGATGGGAATTTTTATTAATCTGGTTAGTGGTCTGTCTATTTTGTTGATCTTTTCAAAAAACCAGCTCCTGGATTTATTGATTTTTTGAAGAGTTTTTTGTGTCTCTATTTCCTTCAGTTCTGCTCTGATCTTAGTTATTTCCTGTCTTCTGCTAGGTTTTGAGTTTTTTTGATCTTGCTCCTCTAGCTCTTTCAATTTTGATGATAGGGTGTCAATTTTAGATCTCTCCTTTCTTCTCATGTGGGCACTCATTGCTATATATTTTCCTCTAGAGACTGCTTTAAATGTGTCCCAGAGATTCTGGTATGTTGTGTCTTCATTCTCATTGGTTTCGAAGAACATCTTTATTTCTGCCTTCATTTCATTGTTTATCCAGTCAACATTCAAGAGCAAGTTGTTCAGTTTCCATGAAGCTGTGCGGTTCTGAGTTAGTTTCTGCATCCTGAGTTCTAACTTGATTGCACTGTGGTCTGAGAGACTGTTTGTTATGATTTCTGTTCTTTTGCATTTGCTGAGGAGTGATTTATTGCCAATTATGTGGTCAATTTTAGAGTAGGTGTGATGTGGTGCTGAGAAGAATGTATATTCTGTGGATTTGGGGTGGAGAGTTCTGTAAATGTCTATTAGGTTTGCTTGTTCCAGGTCTGTATTCAGGTCCTGGATATCCTTGTTGATTTTCTTTCTGGTTGATCTGTCTAATATTGACAATGGGGTGTTAAAGTCTCCCACTATTATTGTGTGGGAGTCTAAGTCTCTTTGTAAGTCATTAAGAACTTGCCTTATGTATCTGGGTGCTCCTGTATTGGGTGCGTATATATTTAGGATCGTTAGCTCTTCTTGTTGCAGTGATCCTTTTACCATTATGTAATGTCCTTCTTTGTCTCTTTTGATCTTTGTTGCTTTAAAGTCTATTTTATCAGAGATGAGAATTGCAACTCCTGCCTTTTTTTGCTCTCCATTTGCTTGGTAGATCTTCCTCCACCCCTTTATTTTGAGCCTTTGTGTATCCTTGCATGTAAGATGGGTTTCCTGGATACAGCACACTGATGGGTTTTGGCTTTTTATCCAATTTGCCAGTCTGTGTCTTTTGATTGGGGCAATTAGTCCATTTACATTTAGGGATAGTATTGTTATGTGTG